GGGGGGGGGGGGGGGGGGCTTGTAAGGAGGGGAAAATCCGACGAGTACGTCATACCGCTCTACTGGCACGCCCTCACCGCAACGCGCACAGTCACCGTACGCTGATTCATCCTTGTCCATGTTTCAACGTGTACAGTAACATACCAAATGTTTCCAACGTACCCTATCCCTCCAGCAGGCGTTGGCAAGATTTTGCCTGCTGAAGGTCGCTTCTATGTTGATGGAGGTACCCCCCTCTTCGCACACTTCATGCCAACGGTAGTATATGCTCTCTACAGGCGGTGAAACCGCACCCACCCGACCACTCCGTCGTTACCAGGCCCTCGTCACCTACGGTTGTCATTTGTGGTTGATCCGCGCTCACCAGAATACCTTAATAAATAGTGCACGGCACAGAGTAGGGCGTTTTCAACCTATTTTGCTACCCATGAGTGGGTCTTCTAACGCCAGGTATCAGAGGAGGGGGATAAGCACCCCGCGGTCATGTGGTGTGGCCTAGCCCATATATCGTGGCCTTGAGCCGGAATGAATGAAAATATATACTTTATGCAGTGTGTGGCACCTTGTTGTAGCATATCATTTCTGTATGCGTCCCATCCCAGGCCGCCTGGCTTTGGTGTTGGAGTGTAGGGCAGGGCACGATGGAGCTGCCGGATTTCGTACCATTATGAGCCCGATCCCCTTCTCTCCACTTTGTTTCAGTAGCCGTGAGTACGGAATGCAGATCTTTCACTACTTCTTGGGTTTGTGGTGATGAGGGTGATGGCGATGAACAAAACATATTGCTAGACGCGGCCCTCAGAGGGTTCGTTGTTCGTGTGTAAGGTTCCCTGACCACCTGTCAGCAACCCAAGGCAAAGACGCTGTACTACGTTCGTATCCGACAGTACAAAGCTGCCGCATCAACGTCCCCACACATTCTTGCGGATAGAGGTTGGAAGGCTGAAGAAACTCGAAAATGCTTTCGTAGAGGAGGAAGAGACAACAAGCCTCAGGATTCGTCAATGTCATTCCCACCAGAAACACCCACCAGGAGGCGACCAGTTACGATGATGTTTAATGGACACAGACCCAGGAAACCGGCCAGAAACTTCCTGTAGAACTAACACCACCCTTTGCAGGAAGTCTGACAATTCCTAGGAACTCTGACGAAGGTCAATGATACTCTACGTTGTATCCGCCATCTGTCTCCTCATAAAGTGCAACTACGACTGACTGTCGATAACCCTGCACGGTTGCTTTGGATGTACATCGCCGGCCGCTCGTGAGAAACTCCTCGTCCAAATTCGAGCCGTGAATTCTACGTATCCGAACATCATGTTTACCTCCCGGTGTCCGTCGGCGATAGTACCACCAGGTGGCCGTCGCACCTACAGGAGGACCGATCACCGATGGGCAATCGTTCCTTCCTACCCTTCCAAAGGTGTTCCTTTTCCTTTCTACCCTATTGCTAGAAATTCCAGGCTTTTCAGCCCACTTACCATTATGCCCACATTGATAGCGTCCTTCTTCTCCTGGGGAGGGGGGGGGGGGCTTCTCATTGCCGTGCATGCTGTAGCCATTACACGATGGACCTCGCATTCCTACAAAGCCGGGACGGAACACGCCGGGTCCTCACAGTACAAGACTCGCACACCACCAAGTGCAAAACGCCGTGAGGTATTCGGAGAGTCGCATGCAGGGTGCGCTGCACCCTGCAAAGGGCATAGGGTATCTGTGCGTACTCCTTACAGACGGATGGCAGCTGCGAGTGGAACAATTTTCTCGTGCTTGTGCTTTCATTTAAACAGACCGTAAAAATAACTAGTCAACTGCCTCGACGGTACTTCGAAAATTTATCACAACGTGGTGGGATCATTCCCTTTGCGCGGAGTGAGGTCTCTCGGCCCGCACAATATGACCAACTCGACAACCATCATGATTACCCTAAAAGAACAAAAATGAAGAAATGGAATCAATAGCGGTACCACCCTGGTGTTGGAGCTCGCGAAGCGATCCACGTGCTTTAAAACGTCGTTGCCAAGCGACGAAAATACGTCAGTCGGGGGGGGGGGCAATGGTACGGCGAGACTATGATGAATCACGTCGCCGAGGATACAACATGCTCCTGAAAAAAACTGCTCGTGCAACGCATCCGTTGACTCGATCATCACACAGCTTTAATGTATCCGCATTGGCACCGCAGAGTGTGGAACACATGGCACGTCTTTAGCCCACTCGTGAGTGTTTCTTTGGGCATGACTAATGTGTACGCTCATGGTCAGTGCGTCATGTGCGCGTATGTGGCCTCTCCAAATTCCTTTTCAGGACAAGGGTGGGCATGGCACACCAACGGTTGTCGGAACTCAGCCCCCACTCTGCTGGGACTACCTCATCGATCGTTGTTAATGGTGCCTACGTCCGTTATATCTGGTATCATATTCGACACTGACCACGATGTTGGCACCGTTCGACTTTTATGCTGAGGAATTAATCGAGCTGTAATAATTGAGCATAGGATTGTGATATCCTCTGTTGCCTACGCAATTCAACCAAAACTGTACACCGATCTCCATACGGATTTTTCGGCGTTGCAGCAACAGCCTATCTCGCCCATGGAAGTGTCCGTGGACCACCACCGTCCATGGGCGTCGACGGACATCCATCGATGTTTACGCACGACTTCCACGAGCGTCTTCCGGGTGTCCATGGACGTCCTTAATGCCTCCTTTACTAGCGACGTTCACCGAGCATGAGAAGCTGTTGTGCTCGAGACTAGGTTAGATATCCTTCATACTTGGCCAACGGCCAACCAACCTACTCGTCGAATCGGCACCGCCATGCGGTCACTGCGGGGCTGCGTTGTTCAAAGGTGAGAGTTCCATTCCATATAGACTATTCTTTGTGGTTATCAGTATACGTGTCTTTTTTTTCCGTGCCCAATATATAGCACCCAAAAACATGACGTTACTGTTTTGTACCGCTACATACAGTATACGCCTGTGCCATACCCTACATATTCATATGCAACAATGGACACCCTTTCTTCCTTTCTCCCTTCGCCTCCCAACCAATTCCCCCTTTTTGCTCCTCTTTCTTCACCTCTCAACTTACGTCTGTGCTAGAAGAAGGTCGTATATTACTCCTGTTCCTTGACCTCTCTACCAATTTTTCCTGTGTACTATATATACTCTACATTCATTCTGCACAATGAACAGCTCTCCTTCATTCCCCACCCAACCAATTCTTACCGCTGTACTTCTGTCTTTCTCTTCCTTCACGTCCCAAAGTGTTCATACCGCCGCACATTTGTGCTACCGTCTCCAATACGTATACTACATCATGACAACGGTTACCCAAAGTTACACAACCCACGTACATCCGCCGGCTCCGGCCTTCTCCTCCCGACGACGACGTAAATCCAGCCTAACGGGCGGGCGGCCGCCATGCCCTAGTGCTTATCTACTGTCGAATGCATTCAGACGCCATGGACATCAGATCACCGAATATTTGCCGCGCCAGGGCATGCCTACTCCGAGCATTGGGTCTATCGCAAACTGTAACGACGCCAAAAACGGCCCGCACAACAAAAAAGCAGTCGTTACGCCAAGCTGACAGTCACAGTCCTCCGCGAAATGTATACGCCTGTCTCATCTTTCGCAAACCGTAAAGTAAACCCAATCAAACCGAAGTCGAATGGAAGCGAAAAATACGCTACACCGAAAATAAATCAAATATGCGTTGGCGCCATCACACCAGGGTACATGTCGTTTTCAACTACCACCTCATCACTGGTTGTCCTTATTCTTGTACAGGTTGAAAGCGTTGAACCCGCCTGGGAAATTATGATAGAAGTAACAGCGGGCGCGGAATTCGGGTTTCGCGGCGTAAGAAACTGAACCAAACATTGTAGTCTCTCCTTGTCGCTCGGAGAACGAGAAAAGACCAGCCACACACATCCCACCTGGGTTGAGATCCCTGAAGCGCTACAACCAAAACATGTGCGGGCTCCAACATATGCCTGCCGGTTGTATTTTGGTCTGCATGTACGTATGACCCTCGCCTGAACTGACTTCTATTTCTCTCACCGCAGACAGTCGCCGAGTCACCGGAGCACTCCATGAGACATGATCCCGACCCGTGCCTCTTGTAGTCCTCCTCATCGTTAGACATTCCGCACCAGCACTCGTCGCCGTACTATTGAGCCAAGAGACAAACAAGGGCCGGGGGCGAGGGTAGAGAGGAATATGTAGCAGCAAATTAACGATGGTGACCAGAGAAATCATTTTCATATGTGTTTTAAGAGCTGAACCCAGATCGGCTGGCCGTCCTTGCGTTGCATCATCCACGACAGCCGCTGTTTGGATTCAGCACATTAAACTTTGCCTCCAAAACAAAACTAGGAAGCTCGATCTAAGCGCTCGCACAAAGGGCACGATCCAGAGGTGAGGGAGAGAAGCAATCGAGCACAGGATAGAGCAAGAGGGGAAACTCATGGCCTCCGCTTAACGCCTCCAGCTACTACATGCACACGACCTGGGGAAAGTGAAGTGACGAGGAACAAACTGACACCACGAATCTTCCAACAGCCTGTGGAAATAATCAAATCGCCACCATAGGAGAGCACAGCACACGGTCACATTACCTTTGTCTGCCTGCCACTATCATTTACTACGTCTTCCATTTACAACACGATACCTAAAGCATCCACGGGTGGACCCTACCACAGGGCAACCTGTTTCTGTGCCCGTGCCGCCGACCGTGTACGAACCCCGGCGATTCACCTGGGTCGCGTAGAATTGCGCATCATAGCCTTCGCAATACACGCGGCAGACGACCTGGGTCATGTCGGGCTGGTGCTTGATTTCATTACCCAATAGGCGATCTTCCGGGTCGTCGGCGAAGCACCCCACGTACTCGTCGACCTCGTCGACCTCCTCGACTTCCTTCGGTTCCGCGATCTTGTACAGATCTGGAAACAACAGCGCAAGTTCGAGGCAAACGTTACGTCGACTTGAACGCCCACGCCACGACGTACTCGTGGGCAGCTAAGACGGTGGCTACCGCACCGAACAACGATTTTCAGAAAGAAAATTGTATCGAGTGCCACCAAACACCAAGCCGCCGTATTTGAACACTCTGCCCACGTGTTGGTTTAACTCGACCAGATGCGCCTACATGGTAGAGTTCAAGTTCACCGGGTCAGACGAACGAACGCGCCGTGTTCTTCCCAACGGGCGAAACGAAACCGTCTAATACGAAAATACACACCACATTATTAGAAGTTTTCCACTCCACAACATGAACACAGGATAAAACCCCTCACCGAAAGCGTCGAAGCCACCACAAGTCTCAGACTGCGCAAGCACGTGGAATGGGCAAGTGGGCAACGAGGGGGTGCGTTTATCTTCAGGCCAGGTGCATCGACTTAACAATTAGGGCCAAAAGCTTTTCTTAGTTGCGAGTGGACGCATCAAGGAGTAGAGAGGACGATACCATGTCGAGAAACTACGGTGCACTAGGGCTTATCCTCATGCCCAGCACCGTCCAAGGAATGATGGCAATAAGCAAGGAACTGGTTTCGGATCGAGGCTTGAGCACACTGTAGCTAGCTGTGGATGGAGAGAGAAAGAGACAAGGTGCCCGATGACCAACGCAGATATCACTCCTTAAAAGCTATCGGAGTTTCGGAAACTTCGCCAGAAGCGCTCTCCAATCGACAAGCGTTGCACAAGCGTCGAGGGATCGCTCACGCCTACACTGAATACGCGACCATGACGCAGTATCGGTAGGGTCTCGCCTGCGGCGTCATTTCCCAGAGATTTCTCTTCGGCAGGGATAGTTCGTGGTTAATACTGACCGTGTCCCCTTCGCACTCCGTCATGCACAGGCCGTCGGTGCCCTCGGAGTGGCGGGCGTAGTCGAGGTCTGCGTCATGACTGCACAAGCACTCGAAGCCAAACTGAGTAGCCATGTAAGCGGCTCCCTCGGAATGGCAGTGCTCGTAGCACATCTGGGTCCGGCAGAGGAAAACGCGCATGAGGAGGGGAGGGCAATACTATCGACGGTGGCATCACCCAATGCGTTGATTGCTGCGCTTAACACAAATCCCGCAACATTTTATGTGGTACATGCCACGACCTTCATCAGCGTGTCTTAGACGAATGTCGGATTGCAGGTGGACGCTACCATTCGCCAATGTTGCGAGAACGATGGTGTAACGGAGCCACTGACGGCTATTTCCAAGCGACAGTGGAATCAGTCCACCAAGTACAAAACCAAACGCAGGGTGCAGTGAACGAGAGCGGTGTTTGCATATGGTGTCGGAGCGAGACGGGGCAACACTTACAGCGGTGGTCATGTATGGCGACTTCTCCTTAGATTCGAGTACTCGGTCCTCCGATTTGTCGGAAAAGCACCCGACGTAAGAGTATTCACCCATGGGCACATCCACCGGTTGCGGCTCCGGGGTTGGTTCAGGCGTTGACTCAGGCTCGGAAGTCGGTTCAGGCATTGGCTCAGGCTCAGGAGTCGGCTCAGGCGTCGGCTCAGGCGTCGGTTCAGGGGACGGCTCAGGATAGGGAGTCGGAGATGTTCTGCCTGTGGGGAAAAACAAGCAAACAAGTTTCGAAACGACTTCTTCTTTGGACTCGCCAAACATCTCCGAAAACTTGTGTTTACTTACTTCCATGTAGGCCCTCGTGTAAAGACGACAGTAGTATTGTAGAACGTTGACAGAGAGTCAAGTCGTGTGGTTTCCTTTGACCTGCCTTGTTTTCTTCTCAACACTACCAGAGGGACATTCTGACTTGACAGAGGCGCTGGGCCCACCTAGACACACTAGCCAGCCAAGAGAATTGGTGATGATGTTTTCCCATATAATCCTCGAGCTATTAATATGGACTTGTGGGACTGACGCGCTCGCCCTTTGCTTATGTGGACAAGACTTAATGTAAGCGCAAACGATTCAACAGGTTTGTTACAGACGAGCGAACTGACCTTTGAGGACCATAACAAGAAGAATAGAGCTTCATCGCGGTATACTACAGACAATGAACAGACAAGCACACAAGGACCACACACCAACGCCCTCAAAATGCGTGGTGGTGAGAGTGACGAGGACGTCCATCTTCAACGAATTTCTGTGTGTGAGGCACCAGGTGGAAATACCAGACGTCTCTCGTGTCATTCATCAGGTCACACGGCACCAGTGAAGACAAACACATGCCGCGCTCGATGTAGTAGTAGTGCTCGGGTGCATATGGGTTGTATGTGGTGTGAACATCCTCGATTTTATTACCGTACTGGAGGCTCTTGGGGCCTACCCTCGTCGGCGAAACTCTAGGGTCATGTAAGCGAGAGAGACCAACCATTTCCTGGCAGAAAGTTTGACGAGTAAACTACGTCACTCTGAAAAACGTACAGTACAATGAAACTCTCTAAACGCCTCCGGGAAGTAAAACTCCACGAGTGCTCTGGAAATCCCTACGTCACAACGATATCGTCCTCGGATCAACGGGAACAGTAACTTTGTCGAAGATCTCCCGTAAATGCCCAGTCTCAGGGAGGGGGCCCTGGGGGCAACTGTACATAAGGCATTTGTAGCAGCGCAAGGTACTTCGTGAATTATTTCGGGTCACCTCGGGGGAACACGACCAGTCAAAATCGAGTCTTGTGCTGTGTCTCGCAAGGCGTGACGTTACTGTGTTCACCAACAGGCATTACGCACTCAAGGATGCCTGCTCCCGGAATCGGTGGCGTAGGGATTTGAACGAGGAGTTGTGTCCCTACGATACGTGTGTCTACTTGTGCAAAGTTGATTGCCCTGGGGATTGATCTCACCGTTGGCCACCAGAGTGATGTCGGAGCAGCCGAAGAACACGTTGCCCCACTTCCGGCCTTCGTCGCCGCAACCGGGGTTCTTGTGCGGCAGCCAATCCTCCTTGTCCGGTGCGCAATCTCCCGGCCACTCGGGATCGAACTCATGGTAGCCGGGGTGGTGGCACCCGACGTACGCGTCTGCCAGAAGACGGGGGATGGGGTTGGTTCTGCTGGTCAAGTTAAGTGCTGAGGTACATGACTGCATAAAACCTACCGGCAGAGAGGCAGAGAGCTCTTGCGTTCTCGCCAGTCCCTCCAACTATCTGCAGTGTTTCCTGTCAACATGGGTAGCGTAGGACGTTATACATCATGAGGAGAAACACGTTACACCCCAGGCCAACGCCAACAGGACGCGCGCTTTGAATTCTGTCCTCCAAATATTGTTGCTCTCGGAGTGTTGCGTTACAAACCACACCTTGCACTCATCACCGATGATAGCAACACTTTTTCTTGGTTAACATTCACAACGCAAGAAGAACAGAAGATGGGCATGAGTTACGAGTTGCTCGCCTCACACTTGTTGACCTAGCGTCGAGCGCGAACAGAGGGCCAACAGCAGCAGGCATATGAGTTAGAACTGGTTTCGGGTACACGTACAAATATTCTCTGTCAGAATTATGACATTATTTGTTGCTGTTGGGAGTGCGTACTCACAGTACTTCATCTGGAGGACGCAGTGCTCGCACTGAATGTTGGGCAGATGGTAACGTCCGTTGTTGATGTAGCCCTGCAAGATTCGGGAAGATTTGGAAAGTTCGGGGGAAGTGCGAGACATTTTTTCCGGTTTGCTGTAGACTAGTTGATTTGTTCTACTGGAGAAAGGACCACAGCGAAGTGCACGATGGCATGACCCACTACTGCATGCCTCCTAAGCCAGGGGCGTTCTCGAGACAATCCAACGACGCTGTTAAGTCAGCAAGAAGACTGCGCCGCTGACAAAATACCAAAACACGCCGTTGAGCAATGCGTGGTTTCACCCCTCATTACCTCTTTCCCTCCCCTCTCCCCTCTCGCTCTCTGGAACTCTCTCGAAAAACCGCTCGAGCTGCCCACGATAATACCCGCGACGATACTCTGGCACGGCCAACATCATTTCTTCGCGGGCTCAACGAGCTACCATCTGGACAGATTCCTCACTTTGTCCAAGCCGAGACCGCCACCGGTGAGCACGGGCCTTCCTGATTGGTCGGTCTCTTCATTTCCACCGCGGCAATCGGGGTTCACGAAGAAACGCCCAGGGTATTCCTGGTCGATGGGGCTATTCCACCAATCGGTCTCGTCACGGTCGAGCGGGTGCATGTTCAAGCAGTCCTGGGTCACCACGCCGTCAGGGTCGTCTGATTTCGGATGGAAATCAAGGTTGAGGGGAGAGGGGAAAATGGGATGCCATCAGACCCTCCAGGGGCATAGTCTCGGCGTGTCCGAGACAGCCAGAACATGAGGCGCGCGGCCCCCACAGGTTTCGCGTGCTGCACTCTCAGAGCTATGAACCGTACCGACTCTGGTTGGTCCACGGCGGGCTCCACATTTGCTACCCACTGACAAGCTACACTCCAGCCGTTACCTGAAAGAAGTAGTACATATCCCGATCTCCTTGCCAAGAAGCCGGAGAGTAAAGCATAAATAATATGTGGAGTCCACCATAGGAACCGGGACGACAAGTCGCCGAAAAGCTGGCACTCCTTGCGGCTCGAAGAGAACCGGGGGAGCAATATTACTCGCGGGACATCATGGCAGTTTTGCCGAACGGTTCATGAATGGCTGCCTTCCGCACGTTGTTGGTGGATGTTGTTGTTATCTTGACGTTAAAATAACCGTTTCGGCCTCCGCGCAGAACCTCTTATTTTCCGTTGGTCAACAACACAATCATGTTGAGGCGAAATGCAAACTTGGCATTCCGGTGCAACTTTAATGTTCTGTGACTCACCCATGTCAGCGGTGTCGCACAGAAAGTACTCGATGTGCCCCTGTTGGTTTGGATGGTGGGTCGGCGAGGTGACGCAGGCGTGGAGCAAGGAAGATTACGTTCTCAAGCAGCAAACACAGCCAGGTGACACCACTGCTGCGCCTCTGGAAGGAGGCAGGCATCGCACGTGCTCCAACAAGTGCAGGACAAGTATCGGATATTTGGGATTGTGGTCAAGCAGCCAACATTTACTTCACGGCGCGAGAATGGTCCGTGTGTCCGTGTACGCTGGGAACACTTTCAGAACAACCGATGGAACTTTCGTGTTTGTAGATGGAACAGGGAGCGTTTCGCCACAACATTGCTCACTAGGCTCGACGGTAACGACCTTGTTTCCTTGACGGGATCGAGGCACACATCCTGTACGTGCACGACGTGGTCGAAGGACTCACCCAGTGGTTGTTGTTGATGACCGTCCTGATCTCGATGATGGATCCCGACTCATACGTCGAGATCGGAGGCCAGAGGGTGTTCGGGGTGCTGTACGTGTTCGGGTTGTCCAACCCGCCCTGTTTATTGTCCCGCAGGCAATGGGTTTCGGTGGGGGTTTTATTTAACGTTTGTGAAAGCGTGCATGCCACATCGGGTTTTGCCCAGTGCAGTGGCCGGTTAGAAAACTGAGGACGAAGATGTTTCTTGCCCTTCGACGAAATGTCATGAGTGAGCGACAGTCGAAGGAAATTCCTGCTGAACGGTAGGCGGCAATCCTCTCTTTGCATGACACTCGACGCACCGTACGCTCAGCCGTTTCATTCGGCTTGCTGTCAAGGTATCGGTGCAATGCTATCACACGTTGGAGGAACATGCCAACGGTAGTGCTGACGATGTGGAGCAAGTCGAGGAATCGCCGGCATAAAGTTACGCGAAGGCCATCCGCGAAACTGTCGTAAACAGTGCCACAAATCTACACCCCTCAGTCAGTGCAGACCGGTCGCCCCGGTGGTCTAGTAGTATCCTCGAAATCCGCTAGTCGCAGAGGTTGTGAGTTCGAATCCCCATGGGGTGAAAAATTTACGAAATGTGCGGGTGAAAGCGAAATGTAGCTGACAAGCTCTCGTGAGTACCAAATTTCGACGTTAGCACCGTCGACGAGGGAAAGGGACGGCTGGACCCTTCTCGCCATAAAAATGAATAATTCAGCACGCACCGCAAAGGGAAGGTGGGGTATGAAAAGAAATGAAAAGAAGAAAAAGGCCCTGGTGTTTACCCCCTCCAGTGTGACCCTGGATGGTCGTAGTTGTACGAAAAAATACACTCAAAAGTGTAGTACTCTAGACTACATACGCTGAAAAGTGTAGTGCACGTCTCACCACGAAAAATGGGGGGACTGTAGCCATAAAAAATAGGACCAAAACACACACACAACACACACAAACCGATCGCATTGCCGACCTGGGGAGGGTCCCCGCACACGCCGTGTCCGACGGCAATCTTGTCGCTCTCGAGGTAGTTGTTGTTCGGGCACCTTTCCCCCATGTCCCACGCCGCCCCCACAATCCAGTAGTTGCCGTCGCCGTAGTCGGCAAGGACGTCAGGGTCGATGTTGGTGATGGTTCGGGCCTGCACCTCGTCCGCACCTACGGCATCATAGCGGAAGCATACCGGCGACGGCACCGCAAAGCCCGAGTAAACCAAGCTGTCATTGGCGTGGGGGGAGGCACTAGAAAGCTAGAAAGAACCGTACTCTTACCAGTACCGTTTGGCACGAACATATGCACATACAGGCCAGGCAACGACCGCCTCTCAAACTGAAGATCTCCTGCTTGTGGTTACACAACTTAGAAGCAGTTTTCCGGGTATTTTCGATCTTGGACGCGAAAAAGATTCACCCTTCCTTTGGGCAAGTTGACCCACGAACAATGTTCAAACGTTCACTGGATGGAGTGGTCATGTCATCGTTGGCACCGAAATGAAAAATACGACACCTCGGCTCGGATGTTTCAACTTCTATTCAAAGCTGCTGATTACCGTCATTTCGTTGGACGTTGCGACCTAAAAGACCGAGGCGACGGGATATTTTTGGCGCCAGCATTTCACAAGACATCAGGAGAAAACAAATACTACTCCGTAAGGTAACACTGCTGCTGTTGTTGTTGAACTCGGACACACATGGCTGGCTGCACTCTCGTTGTAGAATGGGAGTTGAAGTATGCAGCACATATACATGGCGCCAGCATTTCACAAGACATCAGGAGAAAACAAATACTCCGTAAGGTAACACTGCTGCTGTTGTTGTTGAACTCGGACACAGATGGCTGCAATCTTGTTGTAGTATGGGAGTTGAAGCATGCAGCACATATACATCTACATGGTTGTGAAAAAAATAACATGCGCCAGTCTCAGTCACTCGTGAACCGCAGACAGAAAAACGGAGTCAAGATGAAGCCAACATTATTACTTCCAGGTTTTATTTTGGACGGTGAAAGGGTGCTTCCAAGCATTGCAGTTTCCGTAACGACTTATTGCGATAAATTCGTACGCACCTCCCCCGTTGAAGGACCCCGCCCATTTTTCAATGTAGTGTTCGTTCCTGCACGCGCAAACGCACACACAGAGAGTAACAAAAGAGGGGGTGAAATTTCAATAACTAAGGGCAATTTGTCTCCCTACTCTATTGAGGATATCTTGGTTTGGCGGCGCAGCATGTGGATTTTGATTGGGACGGGGCGAAAACCCGTCACAAGTCCGCCCCCTCACAAAATGTAACAAAAAACCAGCCGATAGGTGAACCAGGTCTCAAATATTATTCTAACGATGCTAGCTTGCGGACCTACATGTTGACGGCGAACCTACTGCAGCACTACTCGAACCTTTGCAAAGTTCGACAGTACTGACGTCTGCGTCGTTGTCAGTTGGACCGGTGGTGTGAATGTTAAAAGGTATTTTGTTGAATGTTAAACTCAACAACGACGGCAATTTAACACCAACAATACTTGCGAAGTGGAGTGGTACTACATAATTACCGGATGCATGCCCGGTAGCGCGGACCCCTCTACCCGAAAATTAGCTTCGAGAATAACAAGACGGAATACACCCGGTTGGTTGGACCTGTGGACCCGTTCTCATCAACATTGCTTTCCCTCGAATCGGGCCTATTCAACGATGTACTCGGGGACAATACCATGTCATCCTCGGGTACCCGAATGGGTCAGTCCTACCGAGCATGACACTACAGTAACGAGCGTGACGTACGCTCCGAAGGGCTGCTGATCATTAGCACGCATCCAAGGAAACCAACGCCAAGCGAACTTTTGCGTCGGACTTTTTCAAATGAGCCATGTGTACGTACGTACGTACTTGTACTGCTAAATGACGGTTCGGACCAGACGAGGAATTTCGTAGGTCTACGTTAGGTTGCTGCTCACTGCTAGATGAAATAAAGTTAAAGGACGGAGATTACCTTGTTGTGCGGACCTACCTACTGTACGGACCTACCTAATTTGCAGATTCATATGATGGGGCGCGAGGCGCTCGACTGCGAGCTTCGTTATTGCCAAAAGGAATAGACAGACAGAAGGAATCTCGCATGCACTTACTACTGAGTTGCAAACTTTAACAGCAACGGTCTTCCAGCCTCTTAGTGCTTGTTTGACTTCAAGCTTCTACAGAACGCGCCGCCACCATACGACCTACATAGTAGATTTGTTGCAATAGTCTTGAGACATTTCGACCAACGCCTTTCTTTAAACGAAATGAGGCCCCGTATTGTACTGCTACCGCACAATCAGAAAGTATGGTGCGGTGTATTCTACAGCGTGAGCAAACTACTACTGTGTGTGATTGAATTGCGCTCAATTAACAGAAATCAGGGAGGATGCGTTTCGATTGGAGCTCATCAAGTATTGTTCCACATGAAATGTTCGTCCCACCAACAATGAATGCTTATCTTTCGACACACAATCGAAGAAGAGCGGAAGTGTGCGCACAACGTGCTCAACGTAGCCCTTCACCCCGAATACCCAAGAGGTGTCTCTCCGAAGGGGGTCGCGGACGCTTATTACTTACCATCGATCTCTAGACTACCTGGTTTTTTGTTCAGGTTCTTTTTTCGTTGCGAATTCACGCTTCCTTGATGGCTCTCCGTTTGTCCGAACATCGAACACCAGCTATAAGGCGCTTTTACTGCTGGGTGTGTCGGCCGCCCTAGTGAAGTGAATGGCGCGACGGGGCTTCATCTGCATACATGCAGTACACTTGGCCACATGCACATACATACATACATGGAAGACCAATAGACCTCTCTCTGCATACAGACCTGCCGACATAATACAGCAGTACATGTGATTCCAAAACCAACATACACGGTACGACAGTACTGCATCTGTACACACATGGATTTTTGTTGTTTGTTGTTGACTTCACATTAAACCGTATGCCAGTTGCTAAATGCCAAAATCTAGCAAAGACTCTCGGCCCGTGGTCACGAAAGTGCTGGAGACATCTGAGGATCTAAAGAACACGCACGCACACGTAGCAAGAAAAAGGTGTACAAGAGCCCGAAGAGGTACTACTACACCTATATATAATCCCTGCAGCACCGTACGCGTGCCCAAAACTGAACTACACGTCCGTCTCACCGTTCATATCATCATACAAAACATAAGTACAACAGATGATATGCTCACGACATAATCGAGAGGTAGGTGCGATTAAACTCACAAATGACCTTAATCAAAGTGGCACTCATATCATGTGCACAAGCATAGGCTACATATCATCATCGTCTTGCGCATGAAGTGTCCCGTACCAATCTGCAGCTATGTAGCTGTGTAGGGGTGACCTCTGAAGGCCCTCGATAGCTCTCACCCATCATTGAAATCCTTCGACCGATAATATTGCCGACTGATGGGCTCAATGACGAAGCCATGCCCGTTCACGGCAGGGACATACGCCAAGGTTGCTACAGTCGCGATCGTCGCCGCTGTGGTCGCCCCTCTGGCCGTGAAAAGTAGAGCTGAAACCATCGTGCCGGTACTCTCGCGCTGAGGAGTCCTGGGTTCCGGTGTAGGTGTGAGAGGGCGAGTTGTAGTGTGGAGTGTTTGCGGTGGAGGTTGACAGGAGACCGTTTGGCTAGTTACGGAACGCTTTCAACAAATAAATTCATCGTTTTTTTTTTCATTTTTATGGGGACCCGATGTTCGAAATTGCTAATGAACTTTTTTTTAGAAGGCAAACATTACTTCACAGAAAGACTACCCGTTCGAGATTTTCTTGTTGGGAAATGGACAAAAGTGGGTTGTTGTTGTTTGTTGTTGTTTCTCACATTAGCTCTAAAAAAGAAAGATTGGGAGCCCGTGGTCTCGAAACCCGGCATACTACACGACCCCACGAAGAAACAGAAAAAAATAGGGTACAAAAACCACTCGGAAGAGAAACAAAATGATAGAAAGAAAGACCAGCTACCGCACCAAACGAGAAAGAGCGTCGAGGAGACCGATCAAAATAAAATATAAGGAGAACGGGGAACGCTTCCCACACCCGCCTACAACGCCGGAGGGTTCCGTGCCGGGTTCCCGCCGACCAGGCATCCCCCGCCCTGCACCACACACCAGGGGGTGCAGCAAGACGGGGGGCGAAAAACAAACACATATATATATATTCCCACAAAAAAAAATAAAAAATCGAAGGTATACCCACGCCATTCTCGGACAAAAGTGGGTACTCGAAAATCCAACGCGCGCACACTCCCAAGGCAACCCCCGAACGACTCAAAACCCAATTCTGACACCTACTACCTGGGCGACACAGCCAGGGACCATGTACAGCACGGGCATCGATTTTTTCCCACGTTCAGGCACACATTCGGTCCTATACCGCAGAGGCGCGCAAGGCCTCACCAGAGTGCCCACTTCTGTCCGACATCGCGGTGCGTAAGCCGGTCGCCCCGGTGGTCTAGTGGGTAGCCTCGCAGCCTGCTAAGGGCCAGGTCATGGGTTCGAGTCCCGGCAGAGAGAGTTTTTTTCTCACTACATAAATCCTGGTCTAGGATGAAAGCGACGCGCTGCAAAGCTCGTTTGTTAGTAAACCATAATCGACTTCGTAAGTCGCGAGGGAAGGGATTGCTGTACCCTTCTCGCGATAAAAATACCTCAGGCATGAACCGCAGGAGGGGGTCCAACCCCCCCCTCCTATGTGACCCCGGTTGGGTCGTCTAGCTAGTAGAAGTGGAGGATAGGGGCCAGAGGGGCAGACGACAGAGTCCAATGATGGGAGAAAAAACAAAAAAAAAAAAACCCAGCGGCGTCAACTAATTTTTTCATGCACCCACTAATGTCTATATTTCGACCCAATTTTGTCCAAATTGTACCCACTTGTTGTGTGTCCACTTACGGACGGCGGAAATCGAGGGAAAATCGACCTCCACGTCACCGCTAGGTCTTTGCACCGTCGGCCGTTACTTTACTTCTACACTAACTTCAATTAATTTCACCTCCTTATTCTCCATCATACAACAAACAACACGGCCGATGGAGCAAAGGCCTAGTCACCGCACGGTAGAACATCGAATAGCCTCGGAATGTCTAGAACCTCCCGACATCGTATCCATGGCATCTTTCCCATCCATGGCTGCCGACTGCGAACCGACCGCGGAGGAACATGTCAAAAACATGCCAGCCCCCTTCGGTGACGGGACGGGAGGATACCAGGCACGGTAAGATGCCCGGCAAGCAGCGCACTAACGGCAAACGCCACAAATAAAAGCGTGACACAC